AAAAAAAACCTCGTCTTTTGGTATGAGACAAGTGCCAGCTTGTTGAATGGTGGGCGCGATGGTGCTTGCTGGTACTAGCACCGTGGTAAGTTCACGATTCTCCTTCCTCGCAATCGTTGAAAAAATGCCCCTGGACTTCTTCATTTTCTTCTTCTTCTCGGCGATTGCAACTCGCAATCGGCGAATTGCTGGCTGCGAAAGACCCGTAAATGACTGAAAGCAATGGTCAAGTCTTGTAGCGAGCACTGGCGCATTAAAACTCTCAAAAGAGGACAATTTTGGTCTAAAAAAAGCGCAAAACACAAACAGAGGGGCTTGCAGTGTGGTGAGATGTGATGAAATGTGGGAGGGAAAAGCCAAGAAAATTACTGTATGTTTAAAATATTTAAAAAAAAACAAAACATATATTATGAGTTTTTTTATAAAAAACATACAAAATTTATTTTTACGTCAGTGTTGAACTTAAAGCCATCTGTGGTAGAGCAAGGGAGCAGGAGTACACGGTTATTGAGGAGTACAGATGCAAAAACGCGGAAAATTTATCGTTGAAAGAGAGTAGTTCTTTTGTCGAGAAAAATCGCTTTGAAAGATTTTGGGTAGAATTTTGTCTGAAGCAGGTAGCGCTACCCAGAAAAATGAAAGGGAAAGAAATCAAATCCGTAGTCTCAGCAGTTTTGCTCACAGTAACAGAAAAAGTTCATCGAATGTTTGTTACAAGAAAACGATGATTTGTCAAAATTTCGTTTAACAAAAAGCGAAGAAAAAGGCACAACGTGTTTTTTACCTTCAGTTCATCGTCGGTGACGTGATCGAAGTGTTGCAAACGTGAGAGCTGCAAATCGATGCATAATTTTCGTTCGAAATTGATGAGATCTGTTTCCTTGAGCACCTCCAGCAGAGCCTCCTCAATATACACACAGCCATCCATCTCTGAAATCGCATGCACCAATCTTATCGCCAATTTTTCCCTTAGCGAAGTCCCCTGGAGCGAGCCCAAACTCATGCCATCGCTTTTATACTATCGCGATAAATCGTAGTAATTATCATTATTATTGCTATTATTATTATTGTCATTATTATTATCATTATTATCACTATTATTACCATTATTATTGTTATCATTATTATTATTATCGTTATCATTATTATTATTGTTATTATTATCGTTGTCGTTATCATTATTATTATTATTATCATTATCATCATTATCGTGTTAGTAAATAGTATCGTGATAAATCGCAGTAACCATTATCGTGATAAATGTGCTGATGCAGCATTATCGCTCGCAACAGATGATATCATTGAGTTATTAATTATTTTACAATTTTTATGACTTCCAACAGCGAATAACGATGGTTTACGGTGGTCAAAACTGGCTTGTATTGATAATATTCGCTGCGATAACAATGGCTGACACTGATACTGATGGGTGAGTGAGGCGCGGGAACAAAGCACGGCAAAATAAGCAAAAACCAGAACGAGCAACAGAAGCATGCACGCATGAAATAAGGGAAAACAGACCAATACAGATATGCATTTCTACGGGGAAATATCGTGAGTACTCGTGAAAAGCCAACAAAAAACGGGGAAATGTAACAGTGTAAGCACAGCTGAATGCTTCAACTGCGAGATTTTAGAGCACAAGGCCGGTGATCATGTAATGGCTGTATCGCGACCCTAATTGTTT